TAAATCTGGCTTCCCTGCTTGCTTTTTGTCTCTCCCTTGAATTCTTTCTCCAGTAGACAGGAGCTGGACCAAGCCGAGCCAGGGGCCACCCCACACCCAAGCCCCCCCGTGAGGCTCCACCCCAACACTGTGGCACGGGGAGGAAGATTCCAGCACGTGCTTTCTTGGGGGACACACCCAAACCACAGCCGTGCGTAAGGAGGCATCTGTGGCCTGGACCTGCGTTCATCTGGGGACGAACATTCGGGGCCTCTTCGGGTGCTTACTGGCCAGTGGGCCTGTCTGGCTTTATTGGAGAGCCGTCCACTCCAACATTTCGCCCGTTTTTAATTGAGCTGTCGTTTATGGCTGAGTTATTCAGCATGTGAGCTCCGATTTATTTCGTGGTTTCTATTTAGTAAATTCTAGCAAACCAGACAACAAGATAAAGTCCGCAGACCAGGTTCCTTGGGTTTGTCCCCGCCTTCTGACTGAGAGTGATTCTTTCCCAGCTTTGCACCACCAGCCCCTTCAGGTTTTGCCTCTCTTGGAGCCCCCCCACCCCCATGCCGCTCTGGCTGGAGGTCTCTGACTAATAAATCTTGCTTTTAAATGTCAAAAAAAAAAAAAATCGAAATCTTCCCATGGCTGAAGCCACTTTCCCACTATGTAATTAACTCCTCCTTCCCAAGCAATTTGGAAACCACTGTAGACACTCACTCAGCCCCAACTCAGCCCTGTTCCAGCACGGCTTTCGCACTTTTACAACTTATTGCAAAGGCAGAGTTACAGAATGGGAGGGAGAGAGAGACAAGGAGATCTTCCACCCACTAGTTCCCCCCAGATGGCTCCAACCAGGTAGAAACCAGCAGCCTGGAACTCCATCTGGGTTCAGTGGCCCAAGCACTGTAGCTTAACCCGCAATAGTAGCCCTATGTCCGCTTTAAAAAACGTATTTGAGGGGCCAGCGCTGTGGCGCAGCGGGTTAATGCCCTGGCCTGAAGCACCGACATCCCATATGGGCGCTGGTTCTAGTCCCGGCTGCTCCTTTTCCGATCCAGCTCTCTGCTATGCTCCAGGCTCCTGGCTTCGGATCGGCGCAGCTCCAGCCGTTGTGGCCATCTGGGGAGTGAACCAGCGGATGGAAGACCTCTCTCTCTGTCTCTGCCTCGCTCTGTAACTCTTTCAAATAAATAAAATAAAATCTTAAAGAAAAAAAAAAGTATGAGGGGCCAGTGTTGTGGTGGGGCTGCTTAAGCCACTGCCTGCGACACTGGCATCCCAGATGGGCACTTGTTCATGTCCCGGCTGCTCCACTTCTGATCCAGCTTCCTGCTAACGGCCTGGGAAAGCAGAAGACGGCTCATGGATTTGGGCTCCTGCCACCCATGTGGGAGATCTGGATGAAGCTGGGCCAGAACAAGCCAGGAGTTCAATCCAGGTCTCCCATGTGAGTGGCAGCTACCAAAGTTCTTGAGCCACCGCCTTCCATCCCTTGGATAGCGCGTGCGCAGCAGGAAGCTGGAACGGATGGCAGAGCCAGGATAAACTGAGGCAGTCCCCCATGTCCCACAGGTGCCCCACGCGAAGTCGAAACCACTGCACCGGACACCTGCCCCTGCTCTGCCTGAACTCGGACGCCAACAACTGTCTCCCAGACTCCCAGGCAGTGAGAGTCGCACAGGACTGGGCTCCCCCAAACTGCCCCTGCACCTCTGCAAACTTTGAAGGAGGCAGCGAGGGGCAGCCGTGGGCAGGGAGAGGAACCTGAATGGCCAGTTCAAGCTGGAGGCGTCTGCTGTCCTCCAGGGCAGCGTGGGAAGCCCTGGCAGCCGGGTTCTCTGTGGCTCCGTGCGGTAGCCCTGTTGAAACTCTGCACTCCCAATCCCCTCAGTGAGCTCAGGCTGCAGCCAGAGTGCAGGGCTGTCGGCGAGAGGGGGTGCGGTCACTCACCAGGCTGCGTTCCAGGGAAGCTTACCCGCACCTCCAGGCTCAGGCAGGGCCAGACCGCCACAGGCGGGGCAAGCTGCAAGAGACCAGACCAAGTCCTACTCCTGACCACAAGATGGGATGCAGAGACACCTGGTACCAGCAGGGCTGTCCCCCCCACCCACCCCCCTGCACTTCTCTGCATCCGGGTCACTCCCCTACCCCTGCTACAGAAGGCCCAGCAAACTGCTTAGGGAGGCAGTATCTTTATTATTATTATTATTATTATTATTATTATCTTATTCATTTGAGAGGTAGAGTGGTAGAGTTATAGACAGTGAGAGGGAGAGATGGGGAGAAAGGTCTTCCTTCCGTTGGTTCACTCCCCAAATGGCTGCCATGGCCAGAGCTGCGCCAGGGGCTTCTTCCGGGTCTCCCACGTGGGTGCAGGGGCCCAAGCACCTGGGCCATCTTCCACTGCTTCCCCAGGCCCTAGCAGAGAGCTGGAATGGAAGAGCAGCAGCCGGGACTAGAACCAGCGCCCGTATGGGATGCCGGCGCTGCCAGCTGAGGATTAACCTAGTGCGCCACGGCGCCGGCCCCAGGGAGGCGGTTTCCTCGGGCGACTGCCCTGGCTGTGTCCCTCTGAGCAACCGCTGCTTGAGGCGGATTATGTGGCGCTACCCCAGGCAAATGGGCCCCTCGTGTCTGCAAGTGAAACAGGTGAGGCCGTGTGGGCCCACACCTGGCCTAGCACTGACACCATTCAAACTGGGCCCAGGCGGCTGGATGGCAGGCTGGCCGATTCAGCGGAGAGCAGCGCTGAGGCAAGGGATCAGCTTTCTTCAGGAAGCCCGAGAGCTTCAGGGGGACAGCAGGCGTCTTCATCCCATCAGGGCTCCACCAGTTTAGCAGGAGTGCTTTCCAGGGAGACGGGGGCGGGAGGGAAGACAGTGGTTCAGCTGATTGGCAGGCAGACAGGCAGGCGGGTTTCGGCCCTGCTCGTCCATCCTGATGCCAATTAGGTGTGGGTTTTTTTTTTCTTTTCAGGCTGTTTGTAGCAGGTGGCTAAGATTTCTGTCCTTTTCCGAGGTCACTGTTCTAGCTGGTCCCCTGCAGTGAGCCCCTGACATTTAGATGAGCGTGCGTTGAGCAAGCCGTCTGCTCAGCCGCAAGACGAGCAGTGAGCTTTTGCTCTTTAAATTGGAGAGGGTGAGGGGGACTATTCAAGGAGACCGGGAACCGGAAGTGGCGCCATCAGCAGGTGCGGCTCCTCCAGCGCTTACTGCTGGTCCGTCCCAAGGGTGCGGGCGGTTCCCCTAAGTGCCTGGCAGTGCTGAGCTGCTGACTCCAAGACCCCAGAGGAGAGGGGCCACTTGGGCCCCTGCCCATCCACCACCTCCTGGCGTCGAAGTGTGATCTGGGGTCGCCACACTAGGGAGCGTCTCGGAGTCGCGAAAGCCAGGGCGGGAAGTGAGCTATCAGAGAAGAATCACACTGGGAAGGACAGCCTTTTCCCGGATGCCAGATCAAAGTGGCAGCTCTGCTCTGGGAGACGGAGGGTTGCGAAACGAGTGAGCGAAAACAATCTGCAGGCTGGGTTTCTGGGTTACGTGCCTGGCCCTGCCGCTTCACAGGTGTGGTGCCACCATGTTTGGGAGCAGAGACACGACGACGCAGAACTTCAAGATTAAGAACTGATAAAAATGCTGCTGTCTCAGGTTGTCTCTAGCACGCCTTGCAATTTTATTCTTCCTTGTAGTGGGCTCATTCTCCCTAGAGAGAACTGCTACCCCCTCCCTCCCTCCCCAATTCCCCTGACCCTGGGGCCAGTCTTCCATCCACTCCTTCCCACAGCGGGGCCAGCAGTCCCAGCATGGACAAGCCAAGAGCCTGGGGGAGGGTGCCCCCGCCGCCCCGTCGGGCTCCAAGCAGGAAGGAGGTTGACAAATGCCCCAAGCAGCTCCCTCCCCGTCACGTGGGCACAGCTTACACGGCTGAAGGCCAACCCTGAGGGATTCCCGTCACTCCTCAGGGGCTGATCGCAACCCCATCTGAGAAGACTTTCCACTCCTTGTGCCGAGGCAGCCGTGCCGGTCAAGGCCCAGGAAGAAGCCGACCACAGCTGCCAATCAGTTTGATAAGCAGGTGTGGAGGTGGCGGAGGACTCGGTCCCAACCTTGGGACGCCCTTATACCAAAGGTCCTTATTGATCACAACAGGAAGTTTTTGCTAGAAGTACGCCGATCGGAGTAAGCTAAGAGCCACACGGCAGAACCTGGTGCAACTCCCTCTGCCCTCCAAGAGCGGCTAAGGGCGCCCGGGCAGTCAGCTTCCCGGGACGGCGACGCCAAGGTCAGGCAGCTCCCCGAGCTTCTCTGGCTCACCTGCAGCAGAAGCGGACAAGAGCCCGACGTTCGCCCCGACGAGGCGCCCAGGCAGCTTCCGCTCAGACGCGGCGCACACCGACTCGCACAGGCGCGGACCGGGGCTCCATTAGGTCCGGGCGGTGTGGCCACGCCCCCCCAGGCCCGCGCTCGTGCCCCTCGCGCTCGGCCCCTCAGTTTGCACGGGCTCAGCGTTCTGCGCAGGCGCGCTTGCTCCTTTTTGCGCACGACGCGCTCAAAATGGCGACGTTGCCCACGACGGCTTGCCCAGTGGAGTCACGTGTTGGTTGGCCTGGAGCGTTCTGGGCGTGTGCGGGTTTGGGAACGTCTCTAGGGGCTCCATCGGGGGTCTTTTACAGCTAAGAACCAGCTTCTTGCTCAGGCTCAGGCTGAGTTGGGTGGCGCAGCTGACCCAGCTTCCTGCCAGTGCGCACCCTGGGCGGCAGCGGTGATGGCTCAGGATTCGGGTTCATGCCTTTCACCTGGAGACCTGGATTGCGGCCAACTCCTGGCCCCAGCCCCAGCCTAACCTTGGCAGTGCAGGCATCTGAGGGAGCAAATCGGTGGATAAAGACATGCTTCTGTCTCTCTACTAAGTAAATAATTTGTAAAAGGTGTGTTTGGGACTGCCATTCTACTCCCACGTACATCCCCAAAATAAATGGAAATACGTGCTCACACACAAGTCCCGCCCGTGGGTATCCACAGCAGCTTTACTGATAATTGCGACAGGTGGAGACAACTCCAGTGTCCACTTCAGAGGAGGGAAAACTTTGCCTCGCTGCCCTGGGGGCCTGGCCCCATCTGGGAAGTTAAGGGCCGTATGGTGGCTTACCGGGAAGTCACACAAACGTAATGTGTTTCCCATGATGCAGGAGGTCTCACAGGGAAACAAGACCCAGCGAAGTGACGAAACCTAAATGCTATTGTGTGAGGTTGAACTGATGGGCATTTGGGAAGCGTAGCTCAATGGCAGGGGCAGGCGCCAGGAAGGTATGGCTCACCAAGGTGTGTTCACTCAGACCCTGGGTGATGGCTCTTCTCTGGAGACTAGCTCTTTGCTCTTGGTTCAGGCATGTTTCCCAAGGGAGTTTGTTTTTTTAAGATTTATTGTATTTATTTGGAAGGCAGAGTGACAGAAAGGAGAGACACACACGCAGAAGAGAGAGAGAGAGAGAGTGCACACACTTCCACCTGCTAGCTTGCTCTCTAATTGGTGCAATGGCTGGGACTGGGCCAGGCCAAAGTCAGGAGTCTCCCATGTGGATGGCAGAGGACAAAGTACTTGGAATATCTTCTACTGCCTTCCCAGGTACGTTAGCAGGAACTGGATCTGGAGTGGAGCAGCCGGGACTCAAACTGGCACTCACATATGGGAAGCAAACATCTCAAGTGGCAGCTTAACTCACTGAGCTACAATGCCAGCCCCTTACATGGGCATGCTTTTTTAAAAGAGAGTATTTATTTATTTATTTGAAAGTCAGAGCTACACAGAGAGAGAAGGAGAGGCAGAGAGAGAGAGAGGTCTTCCACCCGCTGGTTCAATTCCCAGTCGGCCACAATGGGCAGACTGAGCCAATCTGAAGAAAGGAGCCAAGGACCTGGGCCATCTTCCACTGCTTATCCCAGGCCATAGCAGAGAGCTGGGTCGAAGTGGAGCATCTGGGACTCAAACCAGCGCCCATATGGGATGCCGGCACTGTAGGCGGTGGCTTTACCTGCTCCGCCACAGCGCCGGCCACGCGGGCACTCATATCTCAGTGATGTAACACTGCTAACCAAACGCCCAGCCCTGTTCACACCTTTCCGAATGCTAAGGTTTGTGCTTGTCTGTTTCACCACATTGAAGGAAGGGGTCAAGGTTGGCCTCTGGCCCAGCAGTTGATGCCATGTCCTTTATTAGAGAGCCTGGCTGGGCTCTGGATTCCAGTTTCCTATGAATGCAGACCCTGAGAGGCGGCACACAATGGCTCAAGTCTTGGGCCCTGACACCAGGTGGAGGGAGCAGATTGAGTCCCCGGCTCCTGGCTTCGGCCTGGCCCAGCCCCAGCCCCTGTGCGCACCTGGGGAGTGGACCAGCAGATGGAAGACCTCTCTCTCTCTCTCCCCCTCTATTTGTGTAACTCTGACTTTCAAATAAATAAATAAATCTCTTTTTAAAAAAGCTTTTTTAAAATTTGAGAGGCAGAATTATAGAGAGAGGGAGAGACAGAGAGAGGTCTTCCATCAGCCGGTTCACTCCCCAAATGGCCGCAATGGCCTGAGCTGAGCTGAGCTGAGCTGAAGCCAGTGCAGGGGCCCAAGCACTTGGGCCATCTTCTACTGCTTTCCCAGTCCATAGCAGAGAGCTGGATCGGAAGAGGAGCAGCCGGGACTCGAACCAGTGCACATATGGGATGCCGGCACTGCTTTACCCGCTTTGCCACAGCACCGGCCCCTGAAATAAATCTTTTTTAAGAAATAAAATCATAAGACTTCAAATGGACATAGAGGTTTAAGAAACAAACCAAGGCCGGCGCCGTGGCTAATTAGGCTAATCCTCCGCCTTGCGGCCCCGGCACACCGGGTTCTAGTCCCGGTCAGGGCGCCGGATTCTGTCCTGGTTGCCCCTCTTCCAGGCCAGCCCTCTGCTGTGGCCAGGGAGTGTAGTGGAGGATGGCCCAAGTGCTTGGGCCCTGCACCCACATGGGAGACCAGGAGAAGCACCTGGCTCCTGCCTTCGGATCAGCGTGATGCGCCAGCCGCGGCGGCCATTGGAGGGTGAACCAACGGCAAAAGGAAGACCTTTCTCTCTGTCTCTCTCACTGTCCACTCTGCCTGTCAAAAAAAAAAAGAAAGAAAGAAAGAAAGAAAGAAAGAAAGAAAAAGAAAGAAAGAAAGAAAGAAAGAAAGAAAGAAAGAAAGAAAGAAAGAAAGAAAGAAAAGAAAAAGAAAAGAAAGAAACAAACCAGAGGGGCCAGCGCCATGGCTCACTTGGTTAATCTTCCGCCTGTGGCGCCAGCATCCCATATGGACGCCGGTTCTAGTCCTGGTTGCCCCTCTTCCAGGCCAGCTCTCTGCTGTGGCCCGGGAGTGCAGTGGAGGATGGCCCAAGTACTTGGGCCCTGCACTCCATGGGAGACCAGGAGAAGTACCTGGCTTCTGGCTTCGGATTGGCACAGCTCTGGCCATAGCAGCCATTTGGGGAGTGAACCAACAGAAGGAAGACCTTTCTCTCTCTCACTGTCTATAACTCTACCTGTCAAATAAATTAAAAGAAAGAAAGAAAGAAAGATAGAAAGAAAGATAGAAAGAAAGAAAGAAAGAAAGAAAGATAGAAAGAAAGAAAGAAAGATAGAAAGAAAGAAAGAAAGATAGAAAGAAAGAAAGAAAGATAGAAAGAAAGAAAGAAAGAAAGAAAGAAAGAAAGAAAGAAAGAAAGAAAGAAAGAAAGAAAGAAAGAAAGGGAGAAAGAAAGAAAGAAACCAGAGTTTTGCCGTGTCCTGCCCTGGGGCAGGTCCCGGAAAGTTGAGTGGCGGAGGTGGTCAGGTAACCCTATGAAGACATCTTCCCTTCCCTTCCCTTCCCAAATGTTAGCGGACAACAGCCACGGACACTGGACTTGCTGCGACAAGTAACCCTGTTTGCATGGGAATTCCAGGAGCTACTGAAGGGCCTGGAACAGCAGACCTCACACCCAGCCAAGGAGAAAAGCATGCAGCCATCAACTACAAACAGCTGAGCTCCACTAGCAAGACACCTCCACCAGGCTGACTCCCTGGGTTTCCCCAACATACCATCATCAGAACGTCCCCTTCATTATCATTGACTGGGTTCATTATTTTTTCAGTCTCTACCCACAGTTAGCCCTGCCCTTTAGAAATCCTTCTTGTGGGCTTGTAGGGCAGAAAGAGCACACTGGGGACCCAGAGACCACCCTTCCCTCACGACTGCCGGCCTCTTGAAACGAACCCTTTCCTCTTACCGGGCTGTCCAGGGGCGAGCAGCAGGGGCCCAGCTAACAGTCGCCGGGGTTCCACGTGTGTCAGAACTGGTTAAACCACTCCGCCTTTGATTGAAGGGAAGTGCCGCTGAGAACCGCCCCCCCTCCCCGCACTAGCGGGAGGCCATGGCGCTGGCCCCTCTGGTTTGTTTCTTAAACCCCCAGGCCTGGTCCACTCACGCACCATGCAGGAAGCCAATCACAGCGAGTTGGGAAGCAAGGAAGCCCTCGCTGCCACGCGCAGAGCCAGGGGCCGCGTCCGAGCTCCTGGTTGGTCAGTGGAGCCCCTGATCCTCCTGTGATTGGTCAGCGATGCCCTGCTCCCTCGGGAACTTAGGCTGGCCAGGTGGGCTGCAGCTGGTCCGGGCTTACGTGAGTGAGTGGGAGTCACGTTCACGTTCTGCCCACACCGGAGTCCCCTGGTAAACCAGCTCACCACAATGCTGCCAGGAGGATTCCGCTGCTTCTTTTTTTTTTTTTTTATAAGATTTATTTATTTGCAAGACGGAATTACAGAGAGAGAGAGGGAGGGAGAGAGCTTCCATCCACAGCTGGTTCACTCCCCAAATGGCCGCAACGGCCAAGGCTGGGCCAGGCCGAAGCCAGGCGCTTCCTCCAGGTCTCCCACGTGGGTGGCAGGGCCCCAAGCGCTTGCTCCATCTTCCACTGCTCTCCCAGGCGCATGAGCAGGGAGCGGGTTTGGAAGCAGAGCTGACAGACTCCAGCCTGCCCCAGAAACGACTTGAGTGCAGTGATGAGAACCCCCTGGGGCGAGCTGTATCACTCCATCTATTCAGTGAGCTCCTTTGAAAAAGGACAGGCAGGGGAGACAAGTGAGAGGCTGGGTGCAGACGGTACAGGGTCTTGGGCTCAGAAATCGGCCTGGATGAACAGCGCATCGGGAAATAAACAGTGGGGCTGGGAAGGAAGAGCCCCACTCCCACTGGGCAGAGCAGAGAGGCGCGGTCACAGCGCCAGGGAGCCCAGTCCCACAAGACACAGACCCACAGTGCCCCAGACCGGATTCTCCCGCTGCTGAGACATCCAGGGGAATCATGGCCACCTCCCGAGACAAGCCGGGCCCATGTGCGGCTCCTGCTGAAAGTCTGGGCAGTGCAACCAGGACAGAAGCCCCACGGGAGGCAAGGGGACAGTGGCCAATGAGGCCCTAACATGGGGAGGAGGAGGAGGGGGAGGAGAAGCAGCCGCTCCCGGAACCCAGCACCTGAGCCCTGGGCGTCCCCTCTTCTGCACGCTGTCCCCTGCCCCCTCGGGGTCCCGGCCCGGCCCCACCTTGCTGCGCGGGGCCTTGGCTGAGGCTGCCCCTCTAGAAGCTTCAGTTTTCTGCTCTGTAAAATGGGGGTGCTCACAGCC